ATATATATATATAATGGATTATATATATATTGGATTATATATATATATATATATGTATATAATTCGGCCATAAAATGAATGACATCTTGCCATTTGCAATGGATGGACCTACAGTGTAATGCTAAGTGAAATAAGTCAGAGAAAGCCAGGACCTGTTACTGGAGCTGGTAGGCCACCTCTGAGCAGTGCTGTGACTAGATCCTGCTTGCCATGTCAGATGTCTCCTCTGGATGAAACGGAACCACCTGGTGGCAGCAGAATCTTATGAGGTTGACTCTGCAGCAAATTAGACGGAAAGGTCTCTCACTCTCCACTCCAAACAGCAGTTATGACGAAGCGTCTTTGAGGACAGGAAGCACGTGTAAGCATAAAGCTCTCCCTTTCCAGGTGAAGAAACCCACAGGATCACAGATTCAGCAAGACGGTGTCTCATGAGGACAACTGGACCGTTCTTGATTTCTTAGAGACTTCTCCCATGAGTCCAAGCTAAGGGATTCGGTTTCTGAAGATCATAAAAGTGGTTACAGCCACATTTTCTACTTACAAAGCATTTTCATGTCATGCCTAACGTATTTTATGTTTCCTGAGCACTTGCAATACACTAGGCATTCTGCTGTGGGCTTGTATCGATTAGTACCTCATTTTATGCTCACAATTACCGTGTGCGCCGCGGATTATGACTATTTCCATTTGTAAATAAAGAAGCTAAGGTTCAGTGCACCTAAATTCCTGGGCCAAAGCCGCAAAATTAATCAGTGGCGGAACCAGGCTGCGAACCCAGGGGGTTTGAATTCTAAGCACTTCAGAATTGCGCTTCTGGCCTGCAGTTGTTCTAGAAGGCCCGGAGGTGGACATTTGGTCCACCTTACGGACGAGGCTCAGACAAGTTCAGTGGCAATTCCTAGGAATCCACCTAGGAATTCAGGCTTCCGAAATCCCAGCTGTTTCCACTGAACTGCGTTGACCGGTCTCCTCACCCTGACTGTCCTTCCTTCCCAGTCACAGGCCAGACTTTGTCTCTGAAGAACATCTCCACAGACATGTCGGGTTATTACATCTGCACCTCCAGAAATGAGATGGGGGAGAAGTCCTGTAACATCACTGTGGCTGTCAGACCTCGTAAGAGCAGTTTGGGCGTGGGGGGAGGGAGAAGGGTAAGGGGGGTGGACGAAGGCCAGGAGATCACTGGCTTGGGGTGGGAAGAGGCAGCTGAGGGAGACCCTGTGGAGGTGAGTTGGGGCAGCCTCTTTAGGGTCACCGGCTGGCAGGGTAGCTGGGGTGACCTCGGCCAGACGCTCCTGTCCCAGGCTCCCTTGTCTAGAGGCCAGTCCTGTTCCCTTGGTTTTTTGGAAGAGAGCCTCAGACTGACTTCTGGAGACCTGCTCAGTCCCGCCTGCCCTTAGGGCTGCTCGGTGGCTATGGGGAGGTGCCCAGAGTCAGCTGCCACAGAGTCTGGACCTTACCCGGTCACCCTGACCGGTAGCTAGAGAGGGCCTGGCATGGCTGACAACTGAGGACGTTTCAGGAGCCTGGGTAGCCCAGGAAGTGTTGGGACCCAAGTCGATTGGCCTGTGTATCTTTGTATACACCTCCATCCTGAAGAGTGTTTCCCAGCCCCACCTGGTCACCTTCCTACAAGGCCATGCCTCATGGAGTGTTACTAGAAGCTGGCTGCGCTGGCCCCTCGGCCGGGAGGGGGACTGGGCCTTTCCAGAGGAATCCCTCAGCACGGTTCGTCATCGTCAGCTCTGCTCACGCCCCCAGAGCCTGGGCTTCTGGCCTGGGAGGTGCACCTGCCCTGCTCTGTGTCTTGCAGCCTCCATGAACATGGCCTTGTATGCGGGCATTGCGGGGGGCCTGGCTGCAGCCATCATTGTCATCGGCATTGTCGTCTACTGCTGCTGTTGCCGGGGGAAGGACGAGGCCAAGGACACAAGGCAGTGAGTGTCTGGGGACACCCGTTGGCGAGGGTCTGAGCAGTGTGGGGGGAAGGGGAAGCGTCACAGCTCCTCATGGCCTCTTCCAGTCATGCCAGCACTGGGCACAGCAGTCCCCAGGTGGCGTTGCAGGCCTGGTACCTGACTCCAAGGCCCCTGGTTCCCCAGGCTTCCTGTGGCCTGTGCAGGGACAAGCTTGGGGTTGAGCCCCTGCCACCGTCTGGCCCCTCCTTGTCTAGTGGAGCCGGCCTGTTCCCGTGACACCCTGAGCTCATGAGCAGAGCAAATCTGTGCCCCCTGCCCGTCCTGCAGCCCAGTGTCCCTTTGCATCTGGAGGAGTAGGGACGGCAGGTCCCGTGGCTCTCTTCCCATGCAGGGCACTAGGCCCACCTCCCCGACGCCAGAACGAGGGCAAACCCTTCCCCTCTGTCCTCGTGCCCGCAGGAATCGGGTGGCCTACCAGAAGCCTCCAGAGCAGCTGAGAGAGCTTCAGACGGGGAGGGAAGAGGAGGACGACTACAGGCAAGAAGACGAGAGGAACTACGGGCGGGAGTCCCCGGGCCACGCTGACCGGTGACTGGAGCACACTGCAGGCTGGGGTCGGGGGAAGATTGCGGTTCATGCCTCTGCTCCTGCCTCCCGTCTCCTCACCCATTTTTCTGGCCCTCCGTCCCCGTCATGGATGGGATGCCTCTTCCCCATATCATCTGCTGGAGGACCTGGCTAAGGGGATCTCGCTCGTGACTGACCCTGCCAAGTGCCCTCACCCAGGAAGTGACCTCTCCCTGCCGCCCGCCTAGCTCAGGGCCCTGGACCTCACCCTGGACCAGGCCACAGCCCCACCTTCCTCTGGAGCCGGGAGGGGGGTGCTCCCAAGGCACAGCATGGAGCCGGGCGCTCCCTCGATTGGCCTCAGGAGGGCAGTGGCTGCCAACAGGTGCACACAGGGGGGCGCCTCGGAGCGCCTGCCTGTGTGGGTATTTGTTGAATAAAAGAGAGAATGAGTCCAGGAAGGACTCCCTGTGATTTATCCGCCCTAAGTGAAAACTCCTGCTTCGGGACCCACTTTGGCCTCCGGCTCCCTTTCCAGTTCCTCCTCCCCGCTCCCCCGCCCCCCGCCCCAGATTTCCCATGCACCCCAGAAACTGCAACCTCCAACCCACTGCATGCTTCCTCAGGGATTCCTGGCTTTCTCTCTCTGCCTGGGATGCCCATGCAGTTCCTCTCCCTCTCCGCCCGTCCCAGCAGGCCCATCTCAAATCCCAGGGACTCCGGATCGTCCCACACATGGGAACAATCTTGTCACCTTGTCCCACACTCATCGTGGGCCACACGGCCGTTACCTGGGCATTAGTCTCTCCCTATGCTGACGTCTGAGCTACCCCAGCCGCATGACCCACCTGGCAGGTGCTCACCCCAGCTGAAGTCGGGTCCCTGCTTTGATAGGTTGAGTCTCCCCCTCTGTGGTCTCTGCGATATGTTTGTAGATTCACAACTCCCACCCAAACCCCCTTGCTAGTTTAGGGAAGGAAGTACGCACTGCTTTAAGTGAACGCATATGTGTGCACACGGGGCAGCTTGTTCGCAGTAGGTCCCACATTCTCACATCACGATCACTCCTCTCAAGGCCGGAATAACAGGCATGGCCACCCCTGCTTCCTGACACCTAACCCTGGCCCTGCCTGGCCCTGGCTCCGCTCTGCTGGTGGGTGGTCATCGTGCCACAACTCCTCTTTGGCTGGGAGCTCACGAGACGTGTCCCGGCCTAGAGCTCGAGGACCCCTGGCTAGTCTCACCCAGATGCAGTTTCCTACTAAGTAAACATCCCTGTCTTTTCTGGGCGATCAGAAAACCAATTCTGTAAATCTGTCATCTATTTGTGATTTAAAAAAATTATATATATATATATATATATATATATATGGTTGTTAAATTCATTGCTTCATTCAAAGTGCTATCAGTAATAATAAACTTGTTAGTGGAAATTCTTATTTCTTTTTTAACGTGGGGCTTGTTCCCACCAAGGTAAATCTTGTGTCTCATGGGTTTGTGTCTACTTACTGTATACATCATCTGCTTCCGAGGGGAGGGAGGCGACGTGATGCCTGAGACTAGAGGGTCAGATCCTGTGGGTCCCATTGCCCATGGCCATAGGAGGGTCAGGCTGTCTCTAGTGGTTGCTAGGGACAGGACAGAATCATACCTGGCAGCCGAGAGACACTCCAGGTAAAGCGTTGGACAGACCATGGCGGGCCTCGGCAGTCAGTTTCCGGGCTTCAGGGAAAATGGTGGAGATGGTTATACCCAAAACGGCGCCCTCCCGGGAGAGAGGAGAAAACAGTTCTCCTGCTCTAGCCGTCAGAGAGAACAGGTGGCTCTCCCTCCTCAAAGCAGCATGATCCACAGTTGCTTCTCGCCTGTGACATTGTCTCTTCTGCTGCATGTTCAAAGTTCTCTCTTCCGTGTCCCTTCCCATGGCGACCTGTGCTCCCTCCTGTCCCAGCATCTGTTGCCATATGGTCTGTTTCTACCTAGGCCTTACGATTTATGAGGACAGGAACCGAGTCTCATTCGTGGCCTGGCACATGTTGACACTTGGTCAGTGTTTGCAGAATAAATGATGTGTGGTATCAATGCGTCTTGCCCAAGGTCATCTCCTGGTCTTCTAGATACTTGGAGGCGTCTTCCAGTCCTTATGGTGCAAGGCTGTACCAGCAGCATGTTCTTGAGGTAGCTGTGGAAGGGCAGGTGTCCACCTCCTCTGATTTGGGCTGGCTTGTCTCTCTGCCTCTGGAAAGACTCTGAAGGTTCATGTGCTTTAGCCCCAGGCTTGAGTAAGAAAATAGGGGAAATCAGGGCCCACTGCATTAATTCAATGGCCTTAACCTAATGCATTAATTCAATAACAAGCCTTTTGTGAGCACGTACTATGGACCAAGCACTCTGCTGGATGCAGGGTATATTAAGGCCACTAAGACACTCTTAGGAGGAGTGACAGACAGGAACACATGTACATGAGACGGAGAAGATGCCATAGGGACACACTGGGGACCCTCAGGGAGTTCAAGAAAGCTCCAAAGAGGAGGTGACGTTTGGGTTGCATCTTGAAGGAAGATGAGTGGTTTTGTAAGGGGGAGAGGGGTGGTGCTGACACGTCCACACTCCAGTGTGGGGCTCTATTACTTGAGTCTCAAATCACATTACCAGCTGGCAAGGCCACCGCCTCCCGCTGAATTTATTTCAATCCAGAAACTCAACGGCAATTAGATCGTTGCAGGCTCTCTTATGGTCAGACCCAGCTGATACAGTCTCCTCAGGCTGTCAGGCACTCCCTTCCCAATTTGTGGTTTCTGGCCGACAGTTCAAAGACTTGTGGTGCTTGAGAAGAGAGACAAAGGCCACCAGTGACCTGGTGTCTCAACAACACATGTGAGACAGTTTTTCATACAATCCTTATTTACGGCTTCAAACACGAAGGCACATGGCAAGATGAGGCATGCGTATTATCACCTAAGGAAGGACTCTGGCTGCCCAGAGACGTCCCTTCAAAGTAGCATGAACCTCGGTAAATCGGCCACTCTTCGGGGTCTTGTTCTTTTTTTTTTTTTTAATTTTTTTTTTCAACGTTTATTTATTTTTGGGACAGAGAGAGACAGGGCATGAACGGGGGAGGGGCAGAGAGAGAGGGAGACACAGAATCGGAAACAGGCTCCAGGCTCCGAGCCGTCAGCCCAGAGCCTGATGCGGGGCTCGAACTCCCGGACCGCGAGATCGTGACCTGGCTGAAGTCGGGCGCTTAACCGACTGCGCCACCCAGGCGCCCCGTCGGGGTCTTGTTCTTAAGTTGCTTTTGTGCACTCCCACGTAGCACTGGCTTGCAAAGGCAGAGTGACATTAACCAACCTCACAGAGCTTGATGGACAATACTAATAGCAAACACTCAGGTAGGACTTGCCCTGGGCCAGCCACTGTTGCAAACACTTTCTATATAGCTCTCATAATCCTCAAGGCAACTTGGAGAGCTAGGTGCTATTATTATCCCCATGTTACAGTCGAGGAAGCTGAAGCACAGTGAGTTTTAGCAATTTGAATAAACACAGAATGTCACTGTGCTATTTGCAGTGTTAAGCACACCAGACTTTCTGTCTACCTACCCCAGGCATTCTCACCCCATGAGTCCCATGCTCTCGGTTGCTTCTTGAACATGGAATCAGAACGAGGGAAGCAAGTTACGTTCAAAGAGCCATGTGCGTCACCAGGCATCGTGTTATCTGGGGGGACTGTGAAAGATTCGCCGGCCTTTCCCCATCCCTGGGGTTCTGGCTCAGGACCCTGAGCGTAGGCAGGGGTGGTGCCTAGTCCCTACTGGAAAGTGCTGTCCTGTGGGAAGGACCTCCTCGGGGACACTCAGCTATTGGCTCTTGAGTTTGTTCCTGGAGACTGGCTCTCTTCTGGCCAATTTCCGGAAAGGTCTTTCTACCCTTTCTGTTACAGATGAGGAAACCGAGGCTCAGGGAGATAAGCTCATCTGAGTTAACATAGGTAGTAGGATTAGACTCAGTTCTGTCTGATTCTGAAGGCCATGTCCTTTCTCCTTGACCACATTTCCTCCTGACCCCATGCATGTGTACAGGATGACTGAATGGGGAAAAAAAGCAGGGATGAAGAAAGAGTTATGGGCTTTTTGCTTGTTTTAAATTTGTATATGGGAATTGTTATCTACTATAATACAGACATTTCAGATATAACACTATATGTGCATTTCTGAAGACCTTTGCATTCTGCAAAATCACACACTAAAAATATTAGGGCTTATAAGAAAATTAGGGTAAGAGGCAGACCACAGAAAACCAGTGGAATTTCGTAACTGAATCACTTTTAAGACAACAATCCCAGAAAAAAATACAGTGGGGCTAAATCTATGCTGTTAACAGCAAGTATCTCATCAAACTTCCGCCCTCAAACCCTTTTGATGTTCATTTCTATAGCAACCAACTTATCAAAATTTTAAAAATGACCCAGGCGGGCCGCCTGGGTGGCTCTGTCAGTTAAGCGTCAGACTTCAGCTCAGGTCATGATCTTACAGTTCATGGGTTCGAGCCTCGCGTCAGGCTCTGTGCTGACAGCGCAGAGCCTGGAGCCTGCTTCGGATTCTGTGTCTCTGTCTCTCTCTCTGTCCCTTCCCTACTCAGGCTCTGTCTCTCTCTCTCAAAAATAAAATAAACATTACAAAAACAATTTTTTTAAATGACCCAGGCAATTCATCTGGCTGTAGAATTGGGGAAGGGAAGTCTCCCTTTAAAAATTTTTGGCTTTTATCCTGCGTGTTGATTTCTGGCTATGTGCCTATCTTTGTACTCGAGTTCTCCTGTTGGCATATGGTTATATCCTGCCTTTGCCAGTTGTGGGAAGGGGCCAGGATATATTGCAAGGTGGCTTACCATTAGATCATCTTTTATAAAACCAATCCTTCCTTTTTTTTTTTTAATAGCACAAGGTAAGTGTCTTTTGTATTAATCAGCTTGAGGCAAGTTATGGGATGGTAACCACCTACGATCTCAGCGGCTCACAACTACA